CACGAGAACCTGGAGCGCTAAGCAGGTCGTCATCGCCCCAACCTTCAACGGTCAACCTTGACTCTCAGTCTCTTCTCCAGTCCCTACAACCGCATCCTCATCAGCCACAACTCCCAACATGAAGCTCACTACAATCCTTCTCCCAGCGCTCTACTGCAACATCGCTGCCGCTCGGGCTACATCCAGCTGGTTCAGCTCAAACGACGACAGTCAACTCCGTCTCCAAGACGACGACCCGCTCAAAGTCCCGGGCAAGAACCCTCTACTGTTCTGCGCAGATCCTACGGACAACATATTGGAAATACAAAAGGCCGATTTGGATCCAAATCCTCCCAAGGCGTACGTCTCCACTTGCGCGATGTTGTTTGCTCTCGTCTCAACCCCCGCCACCTACATTTCCTAACTTGCACAACTTTCTGCTAGTCAAGTTTGAAGGCTAATATCTGGTTGTTGAAATTAGTGGCACAACCCTCTCCATCTCTGCAGAAGGCTACCTAAACGAAGACATCGAAGAAGGCGCCAAGGTCCATATCACCGTCAAATATGGCGTCATCACCCTCATCAACCAAGAGACCGATCTCTGCGAACAGACCAAGAATGTAGACCTAGAGTGCCCGCTGGAGAAGGGAGAGTTGAAGTTGACCAAGGATGTCGATTTGCCAAAGGAGATTCCACCAGTACGTACAGCTCGGTCTTTGTTGCGGCGGAAAAGGGCGAAGGAGGGCAAATTGCTGACTGCTGGAACAGGGAAACTACCACGTTCTTGCCGACGTTTACACTAAGGATGGCAAGAAGATCACCTGTCTCACCGCGGCTGTGTCTTTCCACCGTGGAGGTTAGATGGATGCGCAGCAAGGATTCATATTGTGTGAGGAGGACATTTTGGAGCACAAATTGCATTGAGCTTGTTTATGAAGCACAACAAGTACCTGAGTTTCCAAGCGATTTGTTCGAGACTGGAGGCCACACTGCGTTGGCATGTCTATCTTGTAACTGTAGGCACGATTACCATCCGGCGTTTCTCGGAGTCCTCTTTCATAGTTGGTATCGAATCACCAAATGATAAAATCACCTCATCATTTGTATGTCTCGACAAATGCTAACAATTTATCCAGTTCGGATGCACTCTACTTCAGAGTTAAACGTCTAACAGAGTGCAGCCATCGATCTATCATTCCTAGCTTCCGATTGAAAGTGACTCAAGCTCTTACAATCGAGGCCAAGGTCATTGTGTTCCTGGCGGACTTCATCTTCGAGATCCGCCAGGAAGCCACCGAAGAGCCGATGAAAATGAACCTCCAGTCTCTAGTTGGAGTTCCCAGTTTCTGAAATTGGCGAGCGAGGATTGAGACTGGTTTTGCTGGACTCGCGTTTCTCTCGCATTTTTAACTGCGTGGGGACAGGTGTGAGCTTAGATGGACGAAGTTATGGCTTGGTACTGTTTATTTGGTGTCACTTTTGGTCCGACAACTTGGAGATATGATGTTATGGGCTTGACATAAGGTAGCCATTGAATTCGTTTGGCTTGAGTCAACCACCGTGCTGTTGACACACGTGACATATTTCCAGCCACAATAGATTCGTGTTCGTACAAGCGTGTATGTCGAATGATCAGGATGTGAGAGAAGCAAAGGATTCAAGATGAGGCATGAGCTAATTATTTAGGCTTTCAATAGATAGGGCGGATGACTATGTCTATTCCGAGTCGTCGCGATGCTGGAGAAGTCACGCCGCCTACTAGTACACCTTTCGACATTACATCACCTAGGAATTGGTGTCAATACCTATCATGCTCTGTTTTTTGATTGGATTTATAGTCGCAAGATCTTCTCTATTTTTAACTTTCTCATGCAAACAACAAACATCGAATAGCACATCAAAGTTCAAACCCAAAATATGCCTCTGATAACTATTTCCGTGCTGACAAGCGAGAATGAGGTGAGTACCTTTCACTCATCAGTTTCGTTTCTTCGACCAAGTCGGCGACAATCATCTAAGCGAGGCATGGGGCAGCGGTCCAGCTAACAAGGTTGTAGACCTCTGCTTGCGCATAGGAAGATAACAAGGTCGTGTATTTCGACATAGATTCGTGTAGATGTGTAAGTATAAAGAGGTGATAGACTTATAGGAACAGGAAATTACACAATGCCGAGGAAACATCGCTTGTGCCATGGGAAGCAAACCGCCAGCTCCGTGGCATCAAGCGTTGACGCTACAATGCCATTGAGTGACCCGGAAACTTTATGCGAAGTCTTGTTACCACAGTAGTGTTACTTTCCTGTGACATTACATAATCCTTGAATCTCACGTCTGTCAAAATGCCATCTGCAGCTCAACCCTTTCCTTTCTTCACACTTTCAACAAACTTCAGCCATGGCGAACGACAAACATGACGCGAAACGCCAGAAATTACTCTCCAGGTAGCTTTGTACACGGCATTGATGAGTATTAACATTGACAACTGATAGCATGATGGACAACGACGAATACTCGGACCTCACCATAACTTCTCACGGTCAAAGCTTCAACGTGCATAAAGTCATCGTCTGCAACCAGTCCGCTTTCTTCAGAAATGCCTGTAAGAAGAACGCATTCAAGGTTTGTCCCAGTATTGAGCGATATGACTTGGACAATGCTGACATTTCTCAAGGAGGGTGAGACCGGTGTTATCGACCTTCCGGATGACGATTTAGTAGCGGTGAAAGCAATGGTTGAATTCATGTACACCTCAGAGTACGTCTGTACCAAAGACTCTCCTCAATACCTTTTGCATGCCAAGGTAGCCTGCCTCGCACACAAATACAATCTCGAAACTCTGAAAGAAACAGCTCACGATCACTTCAAGAGAGCAATCATCGACCCTCACAGCGGCGGCTCAGATGAAGCTGGTCTGGCGGAAGCCATCAAACACATCTATGAAAACAGTGGAAATAACGACGAGACAAGGCTTGTCATCGTGGAGACTGTTCGCAAACACGTTCCCGCTTTCCTTGGGAACGAGGAAGGACAATTTTCAGTCATGATGGCGGGATTGGGCGAATTCGGACGTGATGTGGCGAAGTCGACACGGTCCACCACTCAGACCGAAGAGACCTATCGATTTTGTGCCTCATGCAAGATGACCTGGAAGATCGATTCAGTAAATAGTTTGGATTTCGTCTGCCCAATCTGCGAGGTTGCGACGACCGCCCTGGCAAATCGGGTCAATTACAAATGGCAATGCAAGGAATGTGGAAATACTTTGCGGTCGACCCCTCGGTTTGCCACCTTTTATACGAACCAGCGCTGCAATTACTGCCAAAAAGGTGCACTTCATCCACTTGGGCCGCCATCCTGAGCCGGGATCAAGGTCACTACCATAACTGAGATCGATGAGATGGCATGAACTGGGCTGGGTCTTGTTCTTAGCAGAGACATTATGAATTATTACCCAGACATGACTCTAAGATGATTATAATTAGCATAAATCAACATCACAACCACAGAACACTTTACCATCCATTCCCATCCCTACGGATTCTCCCCCCAAATCCCACCCCTAGGCCTTTCCAAAAAATCCTCCGGCGTCACTTCAGGCAACTGCCTCGCGTCCGCCCATTCCCTAATTGCCTCAAAATTCCTACAAACATGCTTCGTGTTGAAGTCAACGAACGGTTCCGGATTCTTAGGGTGCACTCAAGCCTGGCCCAGCACACCCGTGTCAACGGTGCACATGATTTGTTGACGGAGGATATCGAGACAGTGTGTGATATGGACTTTGACGATGTGATCGTCGTTAGCGAAGGGGCCTTTGCCTTGGGGTTTGTAGTAGGTGTAGTTATAGATTAAACCTTGACGGAGAAGGCTCTGCGGAGATTGTCGAAATTCTTTCTTTGGCGTGAGAAAAAATAGTGTTGTATGGACGATATATCAAATGCAGATATGAAACGAGTTGGCCTACTTACCAGACAATGCAGACGATGCAGTCCTTCCACATTGGCAGGACACCCTCCTCCATACTTCGCTTTAATCTTAACATGATCGGGCGCGATGCCCGATCTTCGAGCTTCAGAATCCGGTACACGAAGTGCTCGATCCGACTTAAAGTCAACGCTGAAATCTAGCTTCTTTAAACAGGCCGCCAACATACAATCGGCTCCCAACGCTTTCCATGCCGCATCAGCCTCTAGACTCGCATCTTTTCTGTATATCTGTTCATGAAAGAACGAGCCATTGTAGAGTACTCGTCCGTATTGGATCCCGACAGCTTGCAATACCAGAGCTGCAGCCCAGCTGCTCCAGCGGCAGTCCCAGGAATGGAGCAGGACATCGGACAGGCACCGTATGGTCTTCCGGTTGGCTGAAAGCAATGGCTCGGTAAATCAGGTTGATCAGTGGCAAGGTCACGCTTAAAGAGATGGAGACGGAGATACAGAATCTCGACGTTCATTGCGTAGCGTAGTCTAAAATGTTAGCTGAAGCTGGATTGTGCATGGCAACGACATCTCGGCAAGTTCTTGATAAGAGCTCAGGTCTGTAGCCTCCACACAATTCTGCCATGTGTGATGCTTGATAGGCAATGAACTCTTGGTCTCGGTCTCGATCCCACAGCCAGCATCAGAGCAGCCCGTAGAAGTGATATAAGAGATGATTGATGCTGAAGGCATTGTAGTTAGCACAATATAGAAAAGATTACGTGGGGAGATATCTCGGATTAAGCTCGGCCTCCACGTAATTCAGTGATATCCTCAGACATCTCATGAAACTCAGACTGGGCTAATACTCATGCAACCTAAGGCCTAAAGACCATCAGGTGCAAGAAACGACAACGAAAGAAAGGTTTGTCTTTGAAGGCACACAGGAAGATGCTACCCGACCCGACTTCGATTTTCAAAAAGCAGGGCTAATCTCGCACACTAGTCCCGCTACCACCACCATCACCAACACTCTTTCCACCACCTGAGGCCCAAACAACGCCTTTCGAGTTACTGCTACTTGGGCGAGAACGCAAAAAGAAAGCTTTCCGATGCCGGGAATTGAACCCGGGCCTACCCGGAACGAGCTCATCAGATGAGAGCGGGTAATCCTAGCCACTAGACCACATCGGATTTCTGGACCGGTGAACTCGGTTTTGGATATATGATCCATCGACCGGAGAATACATGCATTTGAGCCGGTCTGTCTTCCATGGATCATCTCTGCGGTATGAGAACAATCTCGGAATGTTCTCCTTCTCAATCCTTACTATCCTGTTTTAGAGCAAAGGTGTTTTTAATAAAAGCTGGTTGGAATCTCAGCCTTGTATAGGTCGATCGCATGGAATACTGCTATACATACCAGATTCATAGTTGGTGTTGAGATTATATGTTCACTTGCTTTCCTCGTCATGGTCTGGGTAGCAAACTCCAAATAGTGTGCAAGGACACGGACTTGGAAAGAAGGTATCGAGACCAGGCTTTCCACGATCCAGAGTCTCGGGAAGGAGTATGTATGGAGAGGGCCTAAAGTTGCGAGCGGAATGACGGGCATCGGCTTTTAGGAGTATAACAATGCTTGATATGGTTCGAGCCAGACCACAAATATGGCCGATGGCATGTTGTGATAAGCGGAGGTCTCGCGAGGTTGTGTAATGCTCTCGAGAATCCATCTACGGCACCGCCGCACTCATGATTGAGGGACCTCGTCGCTTCTGCCATGCCAGGTAGAAGCAATCTGTAGCAAAGTAGCCGGTGGTTGATGCAGATGCTTTGTTGATGGAGGACAAGACACGTTGGTGGACGTGAGACGAACCAATAGAGTATGCAGGTGCGAAGGCCTCATCTGGCATGGCCCGACCCGTTGCCGATCGACTTTGACTTCGACTCAACCCTTCCGTCTTTTCAAATCTTTCCAACAACCAGGGCCGTTCCTTCTAATATTACCTTTCTCCCACATAAAGACGGTGGCATTACATCGCTTGATTTCATTCCGAACATCACGCTTTGAAGTTTGGCAAGCGCGTGTGTGTTATTGACGTCGTCGCAAGAAGTACCTCAAATGGCCAGTACTACCTAGTAATTATGCTCATCGCGCCAGTTGGCATACATGGGCTTCAGTAGGACTACACTCAGAGAAGCTTCTCGAGACGCGTCTCTACTACTTGAAGATGCACGCTTCTCACAAGTTGAGGTGAGGCTGCTTGCTGATGGAAAGGTTTGGCCTGTCAGACGCCTGATAGCCTCCAAAGACGCTCTCTGTCCAATAAGTGAAGCAAGAAATGCCGTGGGGACTCACCGTAATACGATCTTTACCAAACGAATCTCCACGGGATCGAGCTTTCAGCAAGCTTTCCAAACCCCTCCACGGCGTTGACCTCGCCGTATCTCATAGCGGAATAACGGATGCTGATCTGACAGGGACCTGGTTGACCATCTCGAATCGCGACATCATCGCATTTTTTACAGACACAATACCACTTTCCGCTCTTCCAGTCTCGTTGGAAACGATTCTGTAACATCGATCTCAAAGAAATAGAGATCTACTGGTCGACGCCTGCATAATAACAAGCCTTGGGAGAAGCTCGGAATCGCAATTTTCGTTCTTCACAGATTCACCTAATCAATAATCCTCGTCACCCCACCAATCGACTTCTTTCATTGCTATCGCTTGATGCACGCAGCTTTATGAGTGGCTAAGGCACTGAGACTCCTGATACTCATCGCAATCTTCGATGCGAGCTCCCTGTAACCACCTCCGCCAACCCCAATGACTTGATATAGCTTGTCAAGCTCTGTCACGGTCATATGTAGCACTGCCCCTAGTCGCTACTCCCTAGAACTCGACTTCCCATACTCTATGAAGCGAAATAGTGGGCGTTAGTGGCGGTACGGGTAGCATTCCGCCCATTCACCAGTAATTGCAACTTTCAAGTGGGGCCACTCCTTGACACCCTGTTCCAGTTTTCATCTGCGCATGTTCGTGTACGCATGCTCGTGTGGTTGTTTGCTCTTTTCCTTAGCGCTCTCTTTTTCAACATATAATTAGCCCTTCCACGTGAACTCTGGTTTGGAGCCCTCTCCTTCACCCTCACCAAACCAGTAGTCTCGATGGATATCTCTCCTGACAATGTGGGCTCGAAAGAGCTACATCATGAAGTGTTCAAGGAAGTTGATAGCTCTACTGACAGTCCTCGAGTCACGATGTCGACCGAAGCGGATGTCAGAGATATGTCACGTTTGGGAAAGGATCAGCAATTCAATGTCAGTTGATACAAACTTGCTTGCCACAATGTTGCGTCCATTGTTCGCTAACCTCGGGGCAGAGAATCTTTAGGCAATCTACCATGATCATGTTCACATCCATGATTCAGGGAACTTGGGAGGTTGTACTTCTGGCCAATACCGGAGGTTTAGTCAATGGTGGTCTTGCTGGTATGTTCTGGGGATACATCTGGACTTTTGCTGGATTTTTTTCCATCGTTATGTCTTTGGCCGAAATGGCGAGCATGGCTCCCACCAGTGGAGGCCAACATCATTGGTAAGTCACATCCAATGCTGATGTTTGCTACTGTAACTAATTGCTCAGGGTCTCCGAATTTGCTCCACGGAAGCACCAAAGGTTCCTCAGCTATATGTCCGGTACAGTTGCGTTTCCAGTGCCGCATGATCGCTGCTAATGTTTGTGAACAGGCTGGATGTCAACACTTTCATGGCAGGCTGGAACCGCGGGATCGGCTTTCATCATGGGAGTTCTCATTCAAGGCTGCGTGGTAGGATATCATCCCACATATTCACCAAAGCGTTGGCAAGGCACATTGTTCGTTTTTGCTTTCTCTGCAGTCCAAGGCATAGTCAATACCTTCCTCGCGGCTCAACTGCCGAGGATTCAAAAAGTGTCAGTCCTGCTTAAATCTTGACTGGGAGAATATCACTGATATTGGCAGGATGATTGTGCCCCACGCCTTCGGATGGATTGCAGTCATCATCGTGCTGGCTGCATTGGCACCTCATGCTTCGGCAAAGGACGTTTTCACCAATTTCTCGAGCAACGAGGGCTGGGAACCCATCGGCGTCAGCTTGATGGTTGGCCAGATCAATTCTGTGTACCTTTTAATTTGTGGGTGTGATTCGTCGTTGCGACGAAACCTACACTAATCGTTTACTAGTATCTGACTCTGCCGCTCATCTTTCAGAAGAGGTCAAAGATGCTGCGAAATCTGTACCCAGAGCTATGATGTGGAGTTTCGTTCTCAATGGAACCGTGGGCTTTTTTGTTCTCGTGGCTTTCTTGTTTGCTATTCCAGATATCAGTGCAGCTCTCAGCCCTGAAACAAATCCTTCTGGTGAGCTTTGAGACCATCCGACTCAGAGCAGGGGGATTCGAGCTGATTTGGGTTTAGGCTTCACTTTTCTCTACGTCTTCCAGAAGGCATCTTACCATGGATCGATACCTCTAACTTTGATCCTTATATTCGTCGCGCTCGCTGGTGGAATTGATTCGAATTGCACCACCTCTCGTCAACTCTTTGCTTTCGCCCGTGATGGCGGTTTCCCTTTGAGATCCTGGTTGGTTCAGGTATGTCAGGATACACCACATATTCAATCTCTCCCTAACCGGTTCGCAGGTTCACAACAGAACAGTACCCCGCAACGCCGTCATCATGACCTGTACGATATCAGTCCTGCTGTCCTTGATCAACCTCGGATCCACAGTCGCATTCAACGCCATCATCTCCCTCCAGCTTCTCGCTCTCATGTCGACCTACTTCCTTTCCATCGGCTGCGTATTTTACCAACGCCTCTTTGGCGGTCCCCAGAGTCTTCCACCCGCCAAGTGGAGCTTAGGACGCTACGGCATCTTCATCAACGGATTCGGCACCTTCTACACTTTCTTCATCCTATTTTGGGCCGGCTGGCCTGCTTCCCGTCATGTCACCCCGAAGACGTTTAATTGGGGTCCCGTCATGTTCGCTGCTGTGTTCCTGTTTTCGCTCGTCTATTTTGTTGCTTTTGGGAAGAAGTCGTATCAGGGACCGGTTGTGCTGGTCAAGCAGTTGTCAATGTAGATGCGTCGAACGAAGTGTGGATGGATGGTGTTCGTGTTGTGCAACGTATAAGTGGAGGTAGGTAATGAGCAGTTCCTAGGATGTCCTTGACGAATCGCTTCCTGAATTTTCATCGATAAAGATGTTTTGATCTCTCTTACGGTAATCGGACCATACAATGAGACATGACCTAATTCGCTCGGGAGCTCTCGAGCGTGAAGTTCCTTTGCAACACACTGGGACATTGGTAATGACCAGTTGCAGCATGAGCTTCCTGTTCGCACCTTCCAGCCATCTACATCGACGACAAATATGCCTTTGATGCCCAAGTACCCATTCAATAACTCCGCATCCTTCATCCCAAGACAATCTGAAGCCGCCCTTTATTACCCGTCTCCATCCTCCCATCAATCACAAATAGCGCCCCCATCTCCGTCTTCTAGACTGTTCCAACCCGCCTCATCACCATCAATATCCATCCCCATACAAGATGCAGAGCATCCCACGAACGAACCAACAATAAGTTCCAATCCGCCAGATCCCAAAAATCCCCAAAGAACGCACATGTATCCCAACAGTTTCTCCAAATATAGATGAGCCGCATTGCATGTATACAGTACTGAGGCCATCAACTCTACCTTCCCATTCACACATTTGGAAAGAATTCCAGGAAGATCAGTGGCATGTGGATCCCGTTTAGACACATTCCGAACAAAGAAAAGAACGTGTCCAGATCCAAAAATGTAATCGTCCTTCCTCCTCGGATCTCGATAGTTGAGTCTGTGAATTCCTGTTGTACGGAGAATGAATCGTCTCTGGGTCGTCATTGCAAAACTGCAGAAGCGATCGAGAAAACCATATACCATGACTTTTCTCAATGGAAGAAATTGGTGTTGGTCTCTCGCCTCTGTAGTCGACCTCCACTCCACCCGACGTCAATCCCTTTCTTGCACTTTCCAGCCTCACTTCACAGAGCACAAAACTCGCACAGCATAATCTCATCGCTTCCGAGAGAAGAATCAAGATGTTCCTGCTTCACTCCAGAACCGAGGTAGTTGTGCGTTGGTTTCAACTATCAAGTCAAGA